ACCAGTATTTTTGAAGAGTCTGTGAAAATGTTCTTTTTTGCGCAGGTATACTTTAAGTTCTTGCGAAAACCAGTTAGGATAGATGGAAATTTTGTTTATGTTTTTAGGCACAAAGCTATCGATAGCATCTTTAGTAACTGAGGTAAGCGTCTCGCTAACGCGATCGACATCCGACATAGCAAGAACATTGCTCCAGTCAAAATTCTCGATAGATCTATAAACACTCATATAATCACCTTTCGAAAAGCAATAATTTGATGGCATACACGATACTCGTGACCTGAAGGGAAGATAAAACTGGACAATAAAAGGTGCTTAGGGTTTATTCATGTTGTAATAGTATTCGGATGACGGAAACAAAACTGAAAGTAACTGTGGCCGAATCAGATGAAACCCAAACTAGAAATATAAGAAAAAAATGTCGAACAAATAATTACCTCAACATTTTGTTACGATCGCCAGTGACCTGCGAAAGAAAACCATGTCAGAATTCATTTCTGGTTTTGTTTTTTTTCCGGTGCTAAAGGGCTATCGTCACGCAAATGATCTGTAGGATTTATAAGTTGAGGAGACAGTCGATAACACGGCAAAGGCGAGCCCGATTGGACTGCGGGGAAAGCATGAAAGGCATGAAAGCAACGAAAAAAACATGAAAGTGGAGCATATTCAGGAGGATGAAAGGAACAGGCACTACAGGACAACAGCTGTTGTCCTGTGGTGTCTGCTCCTTTTATCCTCCTCGTTTTTTGAAGCTGTTATGCCCACCATACCAAATTTTTACTAGCTCGCCCAGTTCACCTCCTTGTCACTATTAAAGGTTCATTACCCGATGACGTTTAAAGCTCTTTTGTAACCATGACAAGAGATGTTTCCATTTGTTTTATGCTCTCATGACATTTCGGAAAGGCATATCGGCATGTTGATAACACATATATAGTCTGTCAATTTCGCTTTAGTTTTAATTTTATTATTTTATCACTTGATTTCTTGTTGCTGTCTTTCTGTTGAGCTAATTATGAACGCAGTAATCACAGTAAAAAATTTCAATAGGTGCACTAGTATTTTGTTATCATACACACACACTGACACACGATGCTGAGGCTGCAGAGTGGTGGGTACCACATGTTCTTTGAGACTGCTTTTCTCGCACAACACTTTTTTGAAGCAGTGCAGCGCGAAGTGTTGCGGGCAATTGCATGGTGTGCTACTGGAGCAAAGTTGACTCGACACACAAGGAGCCACTTCTGCAGAAGGCTGTCATTTTTCCGAGGAAATATGGAATTACCAAAATGAGGAGCTTCGATGCGAGCCATATACGCGATCCCGCAATAAAATTTGTTAATGTTTCCTATCCACTGAATATGTCGCATAATATTCGATTACTATACTTACGTGTGAAATGACGCTCTCGAAGTCTTCACCTCGCGGTTCTTTCACCCCAATGAGGCGAATAACCCTAGGCATTCTTTTTTTTTTTTTTCTTGTGATGTGCAACACTTTTTTGACTCGGGTAGAATCGCGCTCGGGAATAGTGAATAACAGACAAAAACCGAGCCAGTGTTTTTTTTTTTTTTTTTTTTTTTACTTTTCCCGCACTGGAAGTTTGCGCGGTGTTATTAACGAGAAAAATAGAAACGTTGCGTGAGGCAACAGCGGGTATTACTCTAAACAATATATATTTTATATAACAAACAGTCGCGACCGTGCGCTTGAAGCGTCCTGCTGTCGTCAAAAACTACGAACGAGAAAAAGAAACTAAATTTTTTTTTTTTATTTATGCATGACCAAATTGAAGAAGACAAAAGTAATTTATTTTACATCAACAAGTATCGTATTTATCTTAGAACAACTCTCGGTTACTGCTTTATTTTGATTATTCATTCCCAGTTTGTTACTAATTCAGTACGTGTTATACGTTCTATAACTCCATTCTTCGTTCTTGTCGTTTGTTTTGATTGCTTGATTTGACAGAAATTAGCATCTTTTGGGTGTTTTGTCAAGTTAATTCAGTCTGTGTGCTTCATAGCAATGACTATGTATGCCAATATTGCCCTATAATAACTGTCTGCAGCGTCAACATGTAGTGTACATGTGATTTTGCCTAATTTAGCGCAGTGTTAGACGCCATGAATTCTAAAGAACGCTCTAACTGTAACATATTTCTCTACGTCCGGCTGTAAAACGTTCCAAACTTTTTATTCTTTCACAACACTAAGCAATATTTGCTCTTATAATCAAGCGCAAAAAGAAAACACATTTGCGCTTTCCCATAGGAACGCATTACCGGAAGTCAAATTTGGATTGGTTGCTGTCTGCCTCGATATGCAGAAGCACACTAGCACCGCCTAAACCTCTAGCGTTTATTGCTGATAACTATGTGAGTCGGATACGCTTCACTCAAAAATGGGGGAGCATCAGCGCAAATTCCGCGCGTCACCTGCCACGCGTTGCTGGCAACCGCCGTTGGCCAATAGGAGCATGCTCTCAAAAGGCGGCGCAACGCTATCGGTAATAGCACACCAATAGAAAGCGGGACCGGTGGCCAAGCAGACTACCGCCCACCAGCTCGGAGCATGAGGAGCGAAAGCTCGCTTCAGAACCATGGGATCCTGGGTTCAATCCCCACACCTGCCCGTTTCGATCTGGATGAGCATCGTACCGGCGTGCGATTGTGTACCACTACTGCGTAGTGCACGTTAAAGACTCCAGGCTAGCGGTTGTACAGCAGTAGATAAATTGCTGATCTGCAGCTGAGAGACAAGTTGCCATTTGAGGCAGACTACACGCTGCAGAAACATTCAACACTTTTTTTAAGACCAATAGGGGCTTGTGTGTTTTGTGGCATGCGCAAACAACTAAAAATCTACTGGCATCTTTACGTCGCATTTTTCTTTCTCTCTTTCTCCATCTTGCTGCAGTCCATTAATATATATATATATATATATAAATATATACAGGGTTTTTAGAGAACACAGACCAAATCGCTCCTGCGAATACTACTCATCGCAAGGACAAAATGCTTGCGGCGTTCTGGTCCTGGGCCAGGGGCCCATTTAATAAAATTATTAAAGTCCGAGACAATTCAGTTGTTCATTTTTTTTTCGTAATTAACTTTTCTAATATTAGGTTTAAGGGCATGGTTTAAATTAGAAAATTGTTCGGCATCATCGAAAAATACTAAATCAACAAATTGCAGAACGATTTAAGGCACGCGAAGCATTTTACGGCTTTCTTAAAACCCGCATGAATTCGACGGGTTTTTAAGTTTTGGTTTTGCTATCGGAGCGCATGTCAGCCCCGGCAGCACCGCGCTCCGTGGAGAGATAGTGCAACCACACTCTGCTGCGTCGCGCGATCACAGCGCAGCAGAGTCTGGTAGCACAATCTCTCCACGGGGCGCGGTGCCGTCGGGACGGAGATGCGCTCATAACAAACCGAAACTTAAAAACCCGCCGAATTTGTGCGGTTTTTCGAAAATCCGTAAAATTCATCGCGTGCCTTCTATCGTTCTGCAATTTGTTGATTTAATGGTTTTCGTTGATGCTGAGTGATTTTCTAAGTTAAACCATGCCCTTAAACACAACATTAAAAAAGTTAATTACGCAAAAATAATTAACAAGCTGATTATCCCGGACTTTAATCATTTACTTAAATGGACCCCTGGCCCAGGACCAAAACGCCAGAAGCCTTTTTTTGTTGCGATAAGTAGTTTTCGCACGAGCGAATTGGCCTGCGTTCTCTGAAACACCCTGTATATTCTTTTTCAACTATCTGGAGGTTGCTTGGCCTTTCTGCCTTTTTATTTTTGTTTTACCTTTTTGTCCGGAGCGGAAGTAAAGAAAAAGATTGTTAAGGGAGCCATTTTCGGAGCCAATCGAAGGGGCCTATCCGCGGCGTACTCCACGGTGCAGGAAATAACAAATTAGATTTTACCGCCTCCTCGGTTCCGCTTAGGTCTGCCAATTTTCGAAGGGTTCCGCCGATCCGCTCCTATGATTCCCTTCCTGGAGACAATTGGGTGCACCAGACGGAACCGGCAAAGACCGAGCGACCTTCGGGGCTCTTTGTTGCAACCTGGTGCGGAAGGAACCAGCGAACGACTAGGGCACAGGGCTTCGAAAGTTGAAACTTTCCCTGAGCACTGCGTAGAGCCGGCACTTGGTTGTATTTATCACCCCGCAACATAAACTGGTGTCTCTGACTGGAGTGCGGAATTATTTGATAATCAAAGATGGGAAGCGAGCGCCACCCACAACCAGCAAAAATGCGGCGCTGGTTCTAGGTGAAAAAAAAAGAAGTTAGCGTCGATTAATGGACATAATAAAATTCCTGTGCCACTCTAGAATTTAATTAAAAAACAAAGAAAAGCGCACGACATATTACGTGATTTTACAACGAGCTTTGTGCAAGGGGGCAACTGTCCTCACTCTAGGTACGAGCTACACCTGCTGATGTTTGCATTTCCACGGTGTCTGTGCACCAACCCATTACTCATAAACTAGTCCCTTTCTTCACAAAAGCGACAAGCCTTGTGTGTAGACGAGCAAATGGCAAATGGTGGCCTTCAAGGGTCGTTCAAATCTGATACAGTACATCCCCAGCAAGCCCCATAAACAGGGATATAAAATATTTGTACTGTGCGACTCACGTGGCATCGTGCATTCGTTAGGCATCTATGCAGGGTAGGTAGACCCAGTGCCCAGAGAACCAGACATAGGGGCAAGCGGAAACATAGTTTCGAAGCTTACGCAAGTGATTTAACCGGGCCTGAACCACTTTTCTGCGATAACTGATTCACGTTGTTGAAGCTACTCACAACTCTGGCAAGGAAGAAAGTCCTCTGTCTCGGGACAGTTCGGTTAAACCGACTTCAAGGTTGCCTACTGCCAAATGATGCGAGTCTCAAAAAGGAAGGACGAGGAGCCTATGAAGAGTTTGAGCCCACGATTGATGACCAAAAACTGACCGTGGTGAAGTGGTATGACAGTCGTGCTGTAACCATGACAAGTACCGTCGCTGGTGTTCAACCCGCGGTACCAGTGGAGAGGTGGGACCGGTTACAGAAAAAGACTGTGAACATTGACTCGCCATGGGCCATGCAAACATACAATAAGTTCATGGGCGGCGTCGATCTGAATGACTGCCTCACCGCACACTACAGAATCCACATCAAGTCGAACTTTTACCTCAAGTTATTTTTTCACTTCATTGATCTCGTGATTGTTGTTTGCTGGCTTCAGTACCCACGTGACTGCAAGTCACTGGGCGTCCCTGCCAAAGCACAGGATGATCTCCTAAAATTTAGGATGAGCACAGGCGCATGGCTTTTGAAGCAAGGGAAGGATACAACCGCAAGACAGAAGGGAAAGCCGTCATCATCCATGGAGAACAGCCTTTTGGCAAAGAAAAAGAAGGGGCAAATGAAAGTAGTTCCGGTTGCAAGCGTGAGGACTGACAGCACAGGGCCCTGGCCAGTCATCAAAGAAACTCGGCAGAGGTGCAAGCGACCACACTGCAAAGGTCAAACAGTTTTCATGTGTATCAAGTGCAACACACACCTGTGCTGGAACAAGAACTGCAGCTGTTTCTACGATTTCCTCCAAGAGTAACGCCATCCAAGTTCGAACTGCTCAGTTTGAGGAAACTGAAGCAGTTCTTTAAATCAAACAATGATGTCTTGTATTTTGTGCAATAAGTTTCTGAACTTGCTTTCCTCGTCCAAAATAGAGTAGATGTCCGGTGTCGCGAATATGCGACATATAAATTTGCAGAACTATGGCCACTTAAATAAATGTATGGGTTTACTTTTGAAATGTGGGTTCAACAACTCGCATATTAAGCCAGGTACGATTTTTTTTCTGGTGATTCTTTCTTAATTCGGTTGTTAAAGGGTTAAGAAATTTGCTCATCAATCCTGTCAGTTTCAGAAAACTGGTAGAAAGTTGCATGGAGAAGATGGGCCACAACTTTTGGGAAACGGAAGTTTTGTTTGCCTTCACTGGTGGGCGGCACCGCTGCTAATTAGCAATTTGAGTCACTCGCAACCGCGCCATTAAATGTCGAAGGAGTTCAGCTGAATGCAAGGCAGATTAACCAGAAACCGCAATGATCACTAAAACCATTGCTGATGTGCCGACTGTTCGCATGACCAAAGAGCCTCTGCACATGAAGACGTTTGTATATAAACCAAGACGCTGGACACAAATCAGATTCGTGCGCGATGAAGACTTTGGGCTTCAGGAGTAGAGAGCCAAGATTGACGAGAGGTTCCATCGCAAGCCATGGGGAGCCTTTTGCAATTTAATGGCGTACGCCTCCCGCGGAGATTGGTCGCAAGTGCGCAGGCGTCCCCTTATCGTGTGGCGTGGAGGAAAGCAGGTAAAAGGGCTGAGACGATTGCAGATGATCAACGCCTTCGCCACCTCCTCGCAGCCAGTATTGCAAAAGCGGTCATAAACCACGTGACCTCTATCGAGCAGTTGGAGACACTCTGCAATCTAGGCTCTTCAATTTGGTGTGCCGACAGCAGCGCCACCGAAGTGGCGTGACGTCAGAGAGTCATATTAGTGTACACTGCCTCGGGACGCCGCCATTTTCTGATGGCATGCATAGATCCCGTCTGGACGAGATGCAACCATAGTTGCTCGACTAGTGTCTCTCCAGTTTGTTTTTTCAGGCACAATGTCCGCGCTGGTATTTCAGCGCAGTTCGAAAGCTTATGGCAGAAGGTGCGTGATCGGTGGTGAGTGGCAAAAGGAAAGTATGTTAACGATTTCTTGTGTTGCCGAGTAATTCTAGTTCCGTCTTCATAGAACCAGGATCTGCCAGAGCTTTTGCGAGTCAGGATACTCGTGGTAAGATTATGCCGAACTGTAGTTAGGACTATAGTCGGCGACAGGTTAAGAGTCCAGTGAAAGCTCCTCTCACTGCTTTCCACTTCAGCAGAGCGAATGCCGGAGAGGAGGTCTCCTCCTCTCTAGCGTTCGCTCTTCTAAGGGGAAAAGAGGTGGGAGGAGCTTTCACTCGACAAAATGTCTCTTTGGATGGGATAATTAACAGGCCTTCTGCTAGTTACATTGTACTCACGGATGTGCTTTTCTGCTCGCGTACGATTGCCCACACCAGTGGTTCTCAAATGGGGGTCCGCGGACCTTTTGGGGTCCTTGAAGGCGTTTTAGGGGTCCGCCAAGCCCTACCTCATCAGTCAAGCCCGGCAATAAAAGTTTTTTTTTTTTTTCAAATTGAGGAGACATGATCCAGTTTCCGGGCGAAGTTTCTCCTGTGTATGTCAATAAGAGAGGTCTACTTCACTCTAGCCCTTAGTAATATCCATTTATTACATCATTATTACATTTAACCAATAGCTTTCCCCTCCCTTCACCACGAACGGGGTTTTCCATTATCTCAGCCGGTCCACAAGGGGTCCGCGAAACATCGATGGTCGAGAAACACTGGCCCAGACGATAACTCCATCGACATTAAACGAATTTTTACGCTTTTTGATTTTTTATTGCAGTGTTTTTTGCGAGGAAACTATGTTCTAGAAATCTGAAGAGCAACCGCCGTTGTTGTTGCGGTTGCTGCTTTTTTAAATAATTTTAGTACAATTAGTGCTCGACTTACGCTTTTACGTGTTTACAAACGTAGGTAACACCACTGTTGACATAGCAATTTTTTTTACTATTTACGTATTGTTTAGATTTAACTCTTTCTTTCATTTTAATTGTATATGAACCATAAACATTAGTTGCGGGTGCCTTTAAGAGGTTGGTTTTCTCTTTTTTTCGAAAGTTAGAAACCTTGTCGCAATACATTTTGTTTTCTAAACGAAAACTAAAATAACTATGATCCATTGCCTCAGTCAATATTTTTATTGTTTTCAAGTATATTTTTTCGCGATATGCCGTTCCTTTGCGCAGTATTACCTTCGTCATCAGTTTATCACATCGTAATGGCGGACGAGTAACTTAACTCTAGTTTTAAGGGAACAGCGAGATGGGAAAAAGCACTTCGCTCTCTCAACATTAAAACCTGTGATCCGCCAATGCGCGCCTACCACAAGGCCGTTCCTACGGCTGCCGGACTCGACTCATGTCTTCTGTGCCGGGCTTCCCACCAACGCCAACTCTACGTTCGTTGGCCGGATACCAACCTTTATTCACACACCACACCCACAAAAAAAAAACACTAAAAAACAACGCGTGCTTTACAACTGCCGAGGCTATCTTTCGCGAGCGAAAAGTCTTCCCAACTCGCGTAGCCACCCAGCGGTATGCGCTTCCGCAGAGACAAAGCGGTGATGGGTTCGTTCTGCGACGCGAACGGGAGTTTGCGTTGTGGTACGACGCGAAAAAAGAATAGAGTCAAACTAAGTAGCACAACGAAAGCACGCCCCTGCAAACCGGAAAACAACGGAGAGCCGAGCCCAGTAGACCAAGCATCTTCCACGCCGCTGGTTTTCTATCATGGAGCGAGGCCGCAAACTTTGTGTCGAGCTTGGCCACAGACGCGATCTTTTGAGCAGCGCAAAATATGCTCTCTCGCGGGCTTTCAACGACTTGAAAAAGTGGAAGTGATTCAAATGCTGCTAAGCACGTTTTTCCCGGGCTCTTCAATCTGAACTTTGTTATTTTGACTTGCATTCCTTTAGGAATTTTCGTAAGGCTCGAGTCGGGGTTTTAGAACTCGTACTCTCGTAGGGTCCTTTTTAAATTTGATTGATGCAAATTGTTTCATCCTGGAGGTATTAGTTTAGCGTAAATTTTACATATAAAAAGTTTAATTTTTTATGTTTATATTGTCGTATATACGCAGTCTATTTAATACTCAAACAGTTCCATGCTCTGTGAAAAAAGTTGAAAATAAATAAAACGCCATTTATTCGGTAATGCACGAGATGCCGTAACCACAAAACACACACAAAAAAAAAAAAAAAAAAAAAAAAAACTAACCAATCAAAAAGGTTCGACGGCACGACGACTCGCTTTCGCTCGAGCTGCATCTTGCGGGAAAAGTCATTTAGCTATTATATATCTTGTTTGTTAATATCTTACTTTTATGACACAAGAAGTGCAACCTCGAAAGGCATTACTCTATCAGAGACAATGCCTTACTACTGCTGTCTATCTAGAAGTACTTTAATATTTAATAGAACAAAATTTATTTCTTGCAACAATACAACTGAATCAGTTAAAGATACGTACGTATATACGATCGTTTATCGAACGTGCAAATTTTGGTTTTAGGTATTTTATACATTCTTGCCTTTCGTCGCCTTTTAATTTTATACTATCGCGGCCTATAACTCTCATTTGCCCGTTTCAAATCTCACGCCCAGAAGCTCGCACCGGCGAAATCACCCCTGTCAGGGTTGCACGGATTATGTCAACACAGAGAAATACAATTCAGAATACTGAAACGTTCATTTAAAAAAAATGGTGTCTTCTCTACAGAATTAAATCAACGAGATTAATTCATTTCAATAGCACTCGGCATGACACACCATTTTTTTTTAAATTTTGCTCTCCAAATATTTTAATGACCAAAGCGGTCTTGTTTCATTTTGTTCGGTTTTATCTGCTGCAAGACGCTTAGAACATTTTGTTTTGCCCATAAGCGGACATGCGTCAGGAGAAAACATTATATACACATATCTGTGATAACTGAATGAAATTATCACAGTTTATAGTGCTTCAGCTCTTTTTTGTAAACTAGATGTTAGTTTCGATATAGGGTCACTTTTTCATTCTAAATTCAATGCACATGCAAAAAAAATCATGCTCTTGCATTTGCGTAGGACATGACACCAAATTTTAAAACAACATAGTAAAATAAGGAAAAAAACATAATGTGTACAAAGACTTTCTTTTGTTTTGAAATAAATAAAAATCACAAAAACACTATCTTCAAACGGCTAACAAAATATTTTTTTCTTAAGTTTTCATAAATGTAATACACACTATAATTAGACCCTTGATGTTGAATTTTACATGTTCCCAAGCTTATGAATGCAAAATTGGGTTGTCATAGTACAATATTAATATGAAAACGTTTTCTGCGCAAGCCGTGAAGATGCCTCAAATTTGCAAAAAGAAAAACGCTTTCGAATATATCCGTAGATGTGTAAACCGCACTCCATCGCGGTGGAAAACAAATATTATGATTTCATTATTATTTTTTGCTAAACTCAAATCTAGAAAAGGTTGCAATTAAGAGGAGATGGCTAGGCCCACTTCTCAAGAGAATTGTGATGGCAGGCGACGTTAGAATTTGTAGACCTCGCACACTAGCATGGCCCATATTTCTGTCGTTCTCGGTTGCCGGAAGGTTTTCAAATGGGAATTTGACTAAGTTCGAGAATTTTGTTAAAGTTGGCCACCATGTTCTGTCCTAATTTGTTTTTACGTGAAATATGAAGACATAATGATAACAAACACACTAAAACTTGAAGTCACTTTTTTTTTTAGTCTTGCCGTTTTTCGGGATTCATCTGTTTCTCGACTGAGTCAGCACCGGTGGTTGATGCGCCGCAACATTGGCGACGCGCCAGCAGACCTACGTAGCGTCCGCCTTCATCGTTTGGTGCTTTCGGACGACGTTCGAACGCTGC